TGGCAAAGCTCTCTGGGATTATGGGTTTGGTTAATATCCTCTAAAAACAATTTCAAAAAACTGTAGAGAAGATTATCAATGACTTTTTATGTGATTGCATTCCCTGGTGCTTTGAAATAAAAACACAATAAAGAATAGGAAAGCCCTTGGTCAAAAAGGCTAATCCTGTGTTGATGCCATTTAAATTTAGATTTAAATAACTCAATCTATTTATATTTTCAAACTTTGCTTCAGGTTTTAAATTGAGAATACATGGAAATAAAGTATGGTTAGATATGGGAGTAGGAGCCCTGCTGTCACAGTGGTTAAAGTGCTCATCTGCTAACTGAGAGGCCAGTGGTTCAAAGCCACCCAGAGGCTCCTCAGTAGAAAGGTCTGGCAATTTGCTTTAAAAACATCAATCATTGAAAACTGTGTGGAGCAGCAATTCTACTCAGACACACATAGGTTCACCATGAGTCGAATCAACTTGATGACAGTTAATGTATAGTCCAGGTAGTGAAGCAGGGCCATTATAGTGGGATTGTGTAAATACCTGCCTCCAAGTCAGGGGAGTATACAGAGATGTCATGTACAAAGAACCGTAAAGTCTGAATCCCTACTCTGTTTTCCCCATTGTGATAAAAATATATATAAGATTTGTCATTTTAATCATTTTTAGAATTCAGTGGCATTAATTATATTCACACTATTGGTCTCCAAAGCTTTCTCATCACTCCAAACAGAAACTCTATTTAAATTAAACGTTAACTCCTCCTTGCACCTTCCCACCAGGCCACGATAACCACTAATCACTTTCTGTCTCCATGCATTTGCCATTCTAGATATTGCATATAAGTGGGATCATAAAATATTTGTCCTTTTGTGTCTGGCTTAGTTCACTTACCATAATGTTTTCAAGGTTTATTCATGTCAACATGTATTAGAATTTCAGTCCTTTCTAAGGCTAAAGCTAACTTTTTTTATGGGTCCAAAAACCAAATTCACTGCCGTTGAGTCAGATCTGACTCACAGCGACCCCTTCTTGGCTTTTCAAGGCGGTATCACTATGGAAGTAGATTGCCCCATCTTCCTTCCAAGGAGTGGCTGGTGGGTTTGAACCACCAGCCAACACAGTCAAAATGCCTTAGGCACTACGCCGCCAGAGGTCCCTTTTTATGGGTGCTGTGTTGCTGTTATGTGCCATCGAGTCGGTCCCGACTCATAGCGACCCCTTCTTGGGTTTCCGAGGCAGTATCACTACGGAAGTAGATTTCCCCATCTTCCTTCCAAGGAGTGGCTGGTGGGTTTGAACCGCCAGCCTTCTGGTTAGCAGTCAAGTGCCTTAGCCACTATGCTACCAAAGGTCCTTTTTTATGGGTAGTGGAATATAAAACAATAACAGTGGAAAACTATTCTGCTTGGAGGGCAGACCTCACTTCTATTCCCGGAAAGGCTAGGTGACCAATAAAATGTCTGTTCTTTCAATCCTAACATGAAGAATTCAGATGTGATGCTTTCAGGGACCTTTCCAAGATTATTAGCCAGTGCCTAAGGCAACTGACTGCTAAGCAGAAGGATGGTGGTTCAAATCCACCAGCCACTCCATGGAAGCAAGACTGGGCAATCTACTTCCATAAAGATTCACCACCTTGGAAACCCAATCAACTTGACAGGCAATGGGTTTTTTTGTTTTGTTTTGTTTTGTTTTATTATGCCTGGTGCTAGGCTTTCGGGACACTAAAGATAGAGATGTCCTCTCTGCCCTCTAGTTGTTCACAGTCTAGTGGAGTTCAGCTCTCCATGAGCAAATGTGTCTTACCCTAAGAGCAAAACCCTCCCGGAAACCAGGGGTGGGTCACCCAATAAGCAAGGTAAGCATAGACTTACTTGTGCTTACTAATCTGTAGTAAATAGTTTTACATATTTACCACCACATGCTGTTTTTCATACTACAGATTAGTAAGTAAGCACAAATAAGTCTATGCTTACCTTGCTTACTGCATACTCCATCCCTGTCAGGGATTGTACAATTTGAAGAAGGATTGGTTCTGTAAGAATGTGATAGTGAGTTGGGAGAGAAACAGATGCCAGCCATACCTAGAAGGAGAATCTTTGATATGGTGAAAAAATGTGAAAGTGTTCACTACTGATTAGTAAGCAAGCTATGATCGACAGCACATAACAACAACAACAACAACAACAACAACAACAAGCAAGCCTGTGCTTACTTTGCCTTTTGGGTAATCTGACATTGCCAGAAAGAGAGGGCTGATGATGGGCATGCCGAGACTGGGAGCTGAGGAGGTAAGGAATATTTCAACAAGTAAAAGAGAAGAAAGGCATCCTGGACAAAGGGCTGTGAATATGTGTGGAGTGACTAGAGTACAGGGCGGGGCCAGAAAGGTGGGAGTGCAGCCAAGACCTTCCATCCACACAAGCAATAGCATGAAATAAATATTTTTCCAGGCATTTTGACACTGTAGGCCCTCCAGAAATAAGCTTTCAGAGGAGTTCAGAGTCTTCTGATGCCAACAGAAAAGCCACCTCTTAAAAAGTCTTTTAAGGCTTAATCATCCAGAGATATTCAGCCAGGCTGATGACTAAGTTGACAGCTCACCATGACACTTGTTTCTGGGTTTCACAACACTACAGAAATTCTTGACAAAATTGCAACATCACTGAGATACTGGCACTACTCTGCTTTGATAATTCATTGAAATGATTTTCAGAATTGATTGCTAACTCATCAATAGGCTTCAAAATATTAAATATATATTCTGATGGTTAAGTGCATGGGATAGAAAGCCAAGTTGTCTGGGTTTGAATCCTAGTTCTTCCTATTAAGAGCTTTGTATCTTTGAATATATAGTTTAACTTCTCTGTGAATATGTTTCTTCCTTTGTAAAATACAGGTAATAATGATAATATCTAACTCCTGGCTGTTGTGATGATTAAATCAGTAATATACGTAAAGCTACAGGTGGTTGGGACATGAAATGTACTAAAATTATTTTAACTCTCATAATTATAATACAGTAAGTAATTGTTTTATTTTAACAATGCTTTTACAGCCTTAGCTCAATATCACTTGCATATTGGTACTTTTTGATGGAAGAGCCTTTATCAAGAACATTAGTGTTGAATATACTGAATTAGCATGCATTTTGGATAGACTAAAACCAAAACTCCAAAGCCTTAGTTGGCATGAGAACGACACCAGATTTAGAAAATGAGTTAGAGAAGATGAAATAGAAAGTAACACATTTATAGAATATGCATCTGCGGTGGAGTATTTGATTCACTTCGCTACTTCAGTTTAGTTTGTTACAGTCAGAGAAACTGTCCATATTTTAAATGGTTCCTTGGCATTTTCACATTAAAAACATTTGCAAACAAACCAGTGCACTCACACAGGGGTTGGAACAGGAGAACTGCTAAGTGAGGCTCTTTGTCAGGTCTGGGGGTTGATAGACTCCAGGGTAGACTATCTGTGGGGTGAAGAAGGAGCCCACTGACCCAACGGAAAAGCAACCTTGGGTAAGTCACTTGGATCAGGGAAGCTGAGCCAGTTAACAAAGCAACCCAAATCTCCAACTCTTCTATTCCAGGTGTGCTCTTTCTGAAGTATGCTAACAACCACGTCACTGAATATGTGGTTTCATATCTGTTTAGATAAGTTGTTCACATAACTGGAAATATTTTTACAGGGCTGTATGAGGAAATCATTTGATTCTTTGAACTTAACCTAGTGAGTGGTTCGGGGTCTTTAGTGATGGCTCTACTTTTACAGTTGATGTTTATGTGAATTTATCTGATCAGCATTTAGTCAGTGCTGCTGACTAAAATGTAGATGTCGTGGTATGTGCCCAGATTGGTGTAGCCCTCTGATCCTAGCACCTCATAGTGGTGGAAGGCAATGTCTCTAACACATTTTTTTTCCCCGATTCTGACAGTAGATAAAGAATGGGCATATGTACATTTGTACTGTTACCAATAACAATGTTGCATTTCAGAAAGTAATTTTTCAAATTTCAAGTTTCTATGTCTGAAATCAGTCTTGTCAATGAACGTGTATGCAGACCAAGCACTTTGAAGTTGGATGTATTAGTCTAAGTTGATTATTTCCTTGGGAAATTTCTTCCTCTTACTAAAAAAGAAAAATTTTGCCCATTTGTCAAGTGTCTAAGATAGCTAAGGTTTAGACTGAATGGAGTGGTTACTGCATTCAAAAAACCCAAATAGTTTGTTGTTGTTATTTAAACTACTTGATTCTCCTGCAATTGTCCTGCACCCGTGAATTTCCTCCTTCCATCTTCTTAAGTCCATTGGCTTGAAAACATTTATATATGTAAGTTGTTATGCATTTGTCATACTTACATTCATTCTTCTTCTTTCAGCAAGGAAAATTTAATCACACAGCCTGTATATTTTTATTGTTATTCATTGTTCTTTTCATTCTTAACCATGGTTATAGGGGTTCAGGCTCTTTTCAAATATTATTTTAAAGTGAACATTTTTTAAATCATAAAACTATTAGGATAAAGTCGGTTTTCATCTCTTATGAAAATACTATGCTTTTTCGTTTTTGAGAGCTAAACTCAGAAGGCACTGAGCTGTGCCTTAGTGTCTTTTCCATTATCCTTTTCGTTCAGAAATCATGCCATTCATTTAATACTTCATTACAGGCGAGCTGCGATATATATATACATGGTGTGCAAAATGAGCCATTTTGTTTTAAAACAGATTGCAGATGAAAGGAAGCCATTCATTTCTTGCTTACTTGCTGTAATTACTAGAGCACTAATTACTCCAAATCACTGACATCCAGGGTCAGTAAGGATGACAACAGAAACATCAAAGAAAAGACGTGGCTCACTTGCTGTGACAGATTTTCCATATTCCCGACCACAGTATTTTTTTTTTTTATGGTTACTGTTTTCCAGTTTGCTGCTGAAAAAGAAAAAAAAAAAATACACACAGTGAAGATTGCTGAATGTTTACTATTATTTCATTCGCAGTTTGACGGTGAGAACATGTATATGAGCATGACAGAGCCGAGCCAGGACTATGTGCCAGCCAGCCAGGTGGGTTAATTAATCTTCTCTGCCTTGTTTCAAACTGTAATTAAACAAATTCAAAGAGTTGCATTGCAAATGAGTAGCACTATCAGTAACTGCCTCAATCAGGAATAATCATAATTTATAAACAAAGCATTTAAGCCTTGTTTCCAGTTAATGAGATAGCGCTGATAAAACACCAGAGTTGGCATTTGTTGAAAGCTGCTACCTTGTTTCCTCTCCAGAACAGCAAGCAGCTGTTTTGCCAGCATGATCTTTCCTAAACAGTTGTTTTACCTTTAGGAAATAAAGTCTTTACAGGTGCAGGTTATTTGGGCTTCTGACTGTGGATGAGTTCATCATTATAAGCTACACATGTCACACATAGCTTTAATTATCAAATATCGGAGCCATTTTCAACAACATGCTACATTTACACCTGAAATCACGTGGTCAGTGGGATTTTGCTAATGCCAGTGCATCAGAGTGGACGCTAATGGTGCTTCAGAATCCATGGGGTGGGGGGTAGCTTTCAGATCAAAATGTTTGATATGACTGAAACCCTTCAAGGGCATATTTGTATCCATTTCACTGGGACTAGTTGACAACGTATTTTATCATGAGAAATGACAACAAAAATATAGTGAAAATATGATGGTTACATTTGTAAAAGTAAGTGCTTGGTTATTTATCTTTTGGATACTTAAGACCAAGCCCTTTCATTCAGGAAGGGCATTTGAAGCAAAATTATAACTGCCCTAGGGGGCCAGTGTAATGTTAAATATAAGAACATTGTAAGCAAAAGTAAATAAATGAATAAGTGAAGTAAGAGGGAGAGTTCACAGGAGCTTTTTATAGATTTTTTTTTTTTTTCCAGAATAGTAAAACCATGGCATCCTGGCATTTTATATATCAATAACTATAGCATGTTGGGCAATCTACGTCCATAGTCATACCTCCTCAGAAACCCAAGGAGAGGCCGCTATGAGTTGGGTCCAACTCAACGGCTCATAACAACAAACAACAATACATAAACTCTAATAATAATAATTTTTTAAAAAACCTCACTGCCGTCGAGTTGATTCTACTCAAAGCAATCCCTCCTTGGGTTTCCAAGGCCGTGTCTCTATGGGAGTAGATTGCTTAGTCTTCCTTCCAAGGAGTAGCTGGTGGGTTTGAACTGGCAGCCTTCTGGTTAGCAGTCAAATGCCTTAGACATTACTCCACCAGAGCTCCCAAATGCTAATATGGTAGTTTTAAATGTTGAGATGTCTAGTCAAATAGATTTGCTGCCTGGGAGGGGAGTAAAGGGGGTGCAGAGGGGAAAGTAAAACTCTTTTTCTTCATGGAAGTTGTCAGTGAATTAAATCTAATGTATATATAAGGGCTGTACTCTGTGGGGCTTTGAAATTTCTCTAAGAAAAAAAAGGTTCCCTGCTTAACATGAAACAGGGCAGGCCTACATTTCCATGAACTTTGCATTTAGCAGCCATTATGAACCCTGCCGTCTTTGGGCAGATGGTCTTGAAACTACACTATATTGTTTGGCTGAAAGGTCATCATGGCATTCAAAGATCCATCCTACATTTCCTTCCACTCAGCTGAGTTGATTACTCTAAGAATGCCTTTGGAAGGCCCAGCTTTGCATTTGCAATTGTTGCTTAACTCACTCTGTTCAGCAAAGTACCCTCCAAGGTCTGTAGGTAGTTCTGAATAGCACTGTTTGATTAAAAAATGAAAAATGTTATTATGTTATTATTAATTTTCTTCTAACCATCAATCCCAAAACTGTACTGACAAGTTTAGTATTACTATTGGATTAAAGCAGACCGGTATCATCCTTCGGTGCCTTTAGGGTTTTGAAGTGTAAGGGCTAATTGAATTTGTTTGAAACAGTAGAAACACAAACTCAATAAGTGATTGCTGTTATAAAGCAGCTGCTTCCTTTCAGGGAATGATTATGTCCGTCTTAAGGAGTTTTGGATAAAGGATTGGAAATGCAGAGCACATTCATCTTAACAGCCTGGCTCCTTAGATTTTGAAATTTAAGTACAACATTCAGCTCTGGCTAAAAATCTAACAACTAACATTATTTCTCTTAACATTTCAGTCAGGAGTTACTAAGAATGTCTTAAATACCAGTGATAATTTATGGAGTAGTAGAGAGCGCCAAATACTTTTTGTGCTTTTGAAAAATATGGCAGGTTTGTGTTCCCGAAGCAAACTCTTTTTTAATAACATTGCATATATAAAACTGTTTTTAGAATTTGCTACTTAGGAAATTAGACTAATGTAAGATAATACATATGCTGGGAGGGAAATAAATTTCACAAATTACACACATTGAATAGCTTGAGCTCAATTTTACACTTGACATTCCTTTTGTTTACTGTATTGTAGTATGTTCAAGAATTCATTACCTGATATTCTTTCAGGGAATTTTAATCAATTTGCCCCTTTAGGCAACCATAAATAAGACTTTAGTCATCCTGCTGGGGGATAAAAAAAGTTTTGTTCCTTTTCCTACAGAGCATCAAACATCTGCATAGTTTAGCAATCCAAGACAATTTGCCTCATAGAATCACTCAACAATTATAATTCCTGTTCAATTTTCAAATCAGTACATGCTTTGGGACTTATAGACGAAGTTGCTAAGTAGCAACATATGGTGCACTCCTGCTCCTGTGATGTTGCTGCAAGCAAATAGCATCATTCTATACTTGAAATGATTTTTATAGAAAGCCAACACTGGAATTGCTCCAGAAGTGGAAGCACACTGTAAAAATTAATGATATTCTTTTAGACAGTCCCAATGGGCTCTTTGGCACTGTCTACCATGTACATTCTATACATCTTAAGCTAGTGTATATAAACCTTCAAAACATTTTTTGCATATAATTTTGTAATTGATAAGCAGCTTCTCAATTAAATATTGTGTTGTTGTTATGTGCCGTCGAGTCAGACCTGACTCCTAGCGACCCCTCCTTGGGTTTCCGAGGCAGTATCACTAGGGAAGTAGATTGCCCAACCTTCCTTCCGAGGAGTGGCTGGTGGTTTTGAACTGCCAGCCTTCTGGTTAGCAGTCCAGTGCCTTAGGCACTACGCCACCAGAGCTCCTCAATTAAATATACCACCCTATAATAAGCTGAACTAGTGTGTAATAAAAGCACATAACATATCCATTCCTCTCTGGTGCTTTTCCTGGAATATGGACTATTTTCTCCTGTAATAGCTATGAGCTTGCAGGCCATTTAGTGCTTTAATTTAAAACTAGTTACCTTTTTCTTATTGTGGATAGAATTTGAACCATATCAATGCAAGATTTCTCTGTGCTTTTCCAAACCCTGCCAGATCCTTCCTATATAGTTTGTGGGAAAATATGAGTGAGCTGATGAAAGGAATGGAGGAAGTGAAAGGTGCCAGCAGTCTATCATAAACTACCTCCTTTCTCTTTCTAAACTTGTCATGTTTGGTATCAATGGCTATGTCTAAATCAGAGCAGAGAACAACATGGCTGACATGGATGGGGCCTCCCAACTGAGCTCTGACTCTCCTCCAGACACATAGGGCCACTCAGGTCTACATGCTCAGTGTGGCCTTTACTTTTCCTAAAAAACTGAAGCTCCTTTCTCCAACCTCCAGAATTACAGTACTCTCTGTAGTTCTTAAGGTGCAATTGCACCCAAGATATGAATGTTCATTTGAATTAAATACATCAAAGGAAACAGAAACAAAACATTGAGAAACTTCATTTTAGTCTAAAGGAGTCTGGTTCTCTCAGAACTTTCTGTGTTATCAGTGTTTATTTTTTTAGTTCTGAGTGCGTGCCATTGCTATAGCACTTTGAAGAACATTCTCTTGTGTGCTACCGGGTTGTTCTATCCTTTCCACCCAATCACCCTTTCTGTCCCCTACAGCATCGTTTTCTACCAGTTCTCTTGGCAGGAGCTCATTCCTTCTCATCCATGCCTCAGTCTGGGTACCACATGGAAAAGGTTGAGAAGGATTACTCTTTCTAGACAAGAAATAATCACTTGATGGGGGAGACAGAAGATTTGTCTGGTATCATTTAGATTATGGAAAAGCTTAGGTTACTTGCCTGAACCAGATTTCCAATCAATCAATTCCCTTCCACAGGAGTCTTCCTTAGCACCCAGGGCTTGGTTAATCACCAGATAGTGTTGAGTCTACCTTTTTTTTTTTCTTTCTTTGCATAACTTACAAAGCTGTCTCCTCTTTTCCATTCACATAATTACTGCCTCCGTTCTGGGCCTCACGGTTTCACTTTAACTCACCTTACCCTCATCTTGGCCTTTCCATTTCTCCTCACTGTTGCCTCAGTGATCCATTAAAAGAACTGACCTTTTTTTTTCCCCCTGTGGACACACATTTGGTGTGTCTCCATCATCTATAACTTGGAGTTATTGAGGGGCTGCTTTGCCCCTCCATGGCATGTCACATATTGGACTCTTCACCTATTTTCTTGTCTGTCTTTCCTATTAGATTGTGAGATCTTAAGGATGAGGTCTAGATCTTGTTTCCCTTTGTATTTCCTGAGCTCAGAATAATGTCTGAAATATCAGAGGTATGTAGCATTATTTGTTGAAAGATGGATACATGAATTAAAATATTCTGTGAGCATGTCTTTAATCACATTAATTATTTTAGTCTTCTACTTATAATGGTTCTCAGCCCTGCATGGCAGGACATCTAGCAAGCCCAGCCCTGCCCATTCAGTTCCAGTAGCTCCTCTCCCGTGAATCACTGCCATGACACATTCACAAAAGTCTCCAGCACTCCCTCCTCCTTGGAGAAACATTTTAAGCACAAGACTCAAAGAATTAATGTGATAATAAACTCGCTAATAATAGGCAATTATTCTGAAAATAGTATCATATTGCTATTTGTCATCACAGTGCACTGGCAGTGGAAACAAGGGGACCCTCCAAGTTCCTTTCTGTACAATTGTCTCTAAAAATCTGCTGTTAGAATGTTTTCAGATTTGCACACGTATTAATGGCTACATA